TTTCCCGGAATTTTGCCGGCGCGCACAGCAAAGAAAACCAGACGAACGGGGATTACGTTTGATTCACCGATTAATCCGAATAATTCGGGCGTGTGCACGGAATGCCCTTGACGCGGAACACACGATGTGACCCGATCGGGAGCGGGTCGGCGCAGGTCGCGGGACCGCGTGCATCCAACCCCCGCGGATTTTTCCTCGGCCGCGCGCGATTTTATTCTGCGCATGGAAAGCAATTTTGCCCAATCATAAATAGGGCTATTGTGGGGGGATGGTGTATGCTGCTGGCGCATTTCATACATCCGAGTGTAATGGTAACCAGATAGAGGCGTCGCGCGGGGCTATCGGCCGGTTAGCATCGTAAATACGTTACTACTTACTTCCGCTGAAAAATTTCGTCTCCTCCGTTCGCTTTTCTTTTTCCGTACCTGTTTTATACTGTCTCCTTCTCTGGTCATCGTGCATAATTTTCTTTCAATTTTCACTCTGTTCCGTTCCCATGTCTCTTTGTTTCTTTCTCTCTCCTCGGTTCCCTACCCCCCCTCTATCACCTCGTTTCTCCTACCTCCTTTAGACCTCTCCGCGTGATACCTATTTTTCCCCCTTTTTCTCACGACGTGGAAAGCTTACGTACGACGTAGCCTGTGCACGGAACGCGAGTAACGGCGTGATACACGATACGTCAGGTGTGCGCGCGCGCGCGCCCGCACCGTCTCCTACGTACGCGCGCGCGTGTGTGTGTGTGTATGCGTGTGTGCGATAAATCGTGTTTGTGCGATAAATCGTGTTTGTGCGTGTGAGAGGACGGCCAACCGAGTGATCTGTGACGTCAGTGGTCCGATCGGTTGTCACCTGTCAAGCCGACCGTGGTCTCCTCTCGTCTTACCTCGATCATTCCTCTCCCTCTCTCTGTCTCGCTCTTGCTCCGATAATACCCCGTGCTTCGTGCCCTGTCTTTCCCCCCTTAACGGGGTTTTCCCTTCCGCCAGCATTCCCTGTCTCTTGCCTTCTCACTTTTGCTCCCACTTTTATCTCGTTGCACACACATACCAACCGAGTCTCGTGCCGACCACGCAATCCGATCTATTTCCCTCCCTTCTGTCCACCCCTCGCCCCCTCGGCCCAGCAGCGGCAACCCCCTCTCTCCGTTTAACCCTCGCGGTTCCCTCCCTCTCACCCTGTGTCGTTTCTTCCATCCACCCACCATTTCCTCCACCCCCCGTTCCCGTTAACCTCCCTCCCCCCCTTCAGCCTTGCTCTCTCATCAGTGTGCCAGCTTCCATCCTTGCCCACCACCCATTTTCTCTCGCTCTTTTTAGCAATGGGGAGCCAGTGGCGTAGCCAGGATTTCTCCCACGCTACGAGCATACACAGTTTTCATGGAGGATCTGCAATAACGAGTAGAAGACACACAGAGACTAAACAGTTAGACGTTCAGCGTGCTCGTGGTTGGCGAACCTCTAACGTCTTCATACGTTCTAGCTTTAAAGTCTTCAACTGAAACGAACCAAGTCCTCTAACTCCCGTGGTAGAGTCAGTCGTCTCCGTCGACAGGGTCCATAAAAAGTTAGATACCATTCGGCTACACCGCTGGCCGGGCATCCGCGTAACCGATCATCCATCTCTTTCGAGCCTCGAAACTGCTCCCTTACACAACCGTTCCATTCCTACCACATAGCCCCTCCTCCCACCCATCTTCCATCCTGGTCCAGGCTGGTAGCAGCCCCCGGTTCGCCCTTCCTGGTCGCCTCTTTGCCGGCCCGAAAACCGAGGCCTTTGAAGCCCGCGAGGGCGACCGGCACCTACCCTTCTCGACCCGCCCTTCATCCCCCGGTACCCGCCAGCCCGCCCCCCTCCCC